CGATACAACTAACAGATAAACCGATACAACTAAAAGATGAAGAAACGGAAGTAAATACAACTAAAAGATGAGGAAGCGGAAGTAAATCGGAAAAACGGAAGTTGAGCGACGCGCCGACATACATCAATGGCGTCTTTTGAACCACGCATTTGGCTTCCTGATGCAGAAAACGTTTTTCGTGAATTGATTGATTTAAAATGCTGAACAAAGTCGCACTCATTATGACTCGCCAGACTTTTATTGTCGTAGATTAGAAGAGTATGAACGCACATTGAGTGTTTTAACAACAAGAATCATTAAATCATACACACATTTATACACAGACGCGTTATTTGGTACAGACGAATTCTGAGTACGTGGTATTCGGAAACGAGAATTCAGTTCTTCGGGTAACGATGTGAACTGCTGCACTGAACCACCTTGTGATACTGCGTTTTCTTCACGTGTTTGCAAAGAATGCTGTAAATTGGTCATCGCGCTTAAGATTGACTGAACAAAATTAATCCTGAACATTTGGTACTCTGCCCTATATCTCTTCTGCCATGTTTTTCAATATGTATACAGCTATTTCAATTAAGGTTGTTTCCCGAGCAAAGCGGAAAAGTCGAATACTAGCGCGAAAGGCTGCTGGGATTCGCTAATAAATGAATGAATTTATTAGCGATTCCCAGCAGCCTTTCCCGCTCGTATTCGACTTTTCCGCTTTGCGCGGGGGACAACCTTAATTGAAATAGCTGTATTCACTAGCTTGACGCCACTTGGCACGCGCAATTTTGCCGAGTCACTCTACTTCCGTTTTTCCAATTTACTTCCGCTTCCTCGTCTTTTAGTTGTATTTACTTCCGTTTCTTCATCTTTTATTTGTATTTACTTCCGTTTCTTCATTTTTTAGTTGTATCGGTTTATTTTTTAGTTCTATCGGTTTATCTTTTGGTTGTATCGGTTTATGACATGGATGTATTTGCACATAACATCAATTTATAGCGCATAAACTCGATTGATACATTTCAGATATTTTGTCCGCTAAAAAACTTCATACACAAATTACATATAATGACAGATTTTCGCCAGGTTTTTAAACGCCGCGCTTCGTATAGCTACGCGGCACAGTGTATCAGTCTATTACATTGGAATTAGTACTGTTACGCAGTGTTACCCGATCTTCACGTTGTATATTGTAAAACGACCTCCTTATTCGTTGTTATTTAATATATAGCAACACGCGGGATCGTCGAGGCCGTTAGGGGGACAGCTTGATTAGATCCACAACAAGTAAAATTTCAATACGTATATCTTTCTTAATATATTTTAATGTTTCCCCAGTGCGTGCTATGTTCCAATTCTCTCGAATGAATGTGCGTATCGATATCTATTTACATAAGACAAGGTGCATTGTTCATTGTGCATTGTCCATTGGTGCGTGCGCATCCTAATCTTAATAACCAAACAAAGTTCAAAGGTTCACATAACAAAGGTCAATGGTCCTCTTACAATATCAAGAAAGTACAAATAAAATATTTGTATGATTGTATCATGCAATAACTTATTGGCAGTGTTTAGAGCTGTGGCTGTGGGTTAGGAGTATAAATATGCGTAAAGTTCAATTCCAATATTGTCTTGCATTATACCAATACTATTATTGGCTTATAATGTGCGGATCGGCTGATTACTTGTATAGTTAACACTGACGAATATTGTTTTATTCACGCAAACAATAAATCAACATAATAAAGATCGTATAAACATCCACATTAATAAAAATATTTTATTGCGGTCTACTATAGCTATGTTTTTTGTTTGTAACGTGCCGAGTACAATGGAAAACAAGTGCGCGGAGTCAAAGCCAGAGTGGCGAACCATTTATTAAAGTAAAGCACAATCTCATATAATACAACATTGCGTGGGAGTTTTGGCTTCTCCCAAGAAAGGAACTACGTCATTTACACAAGCAACATATAGCTTCGGTCGCCTAATTCTATTACTGTAATTTCGATTTACTTCAATGCTACACTTGCCATAACGCAACGAAAACAATTCATGAAAATATTTAATTAAAATTGTTAGGGGCTTTTCCGATTTCGTCCATTCCCCGGTCATTCCCCGGCCATTCCCCGGCCATTCCCCAGTCATTCCCAGGTCATTCCCCGGCCATTCCCTTCCCCGTTCCATTCCCCATTCCCTTCCTCCATTCCCCGTTCCATTCCCCGTTCCCTTCCTCCATTCCCCGTTCCCTTCCTCCATTCCCCGTTCCCTTCCTCCATTCCCCGTTCCCTTCCTCCATTCTCCGTTCCCTTCCTCCATTCCCCGTTCCCCGTTCCCTTCCTCCATTCCCCGTTTTAAAGATAGCCTGGAGAAACTCTTCCAGCACGCAATATTCATGCGTTTTTATAGATGACATTTAGAAGATATTTTAGTCGTGCATTTTATCTCGCCAACTGTTTTCGCCTCAAACATGCATGCACGCAAAAATAATAACGCGAGTCCAAGCTGAAACTGGACAGTTTAGTCCGTAGTATTTTGTTTAGTGTTGATAATGAATTTGAAATTTGCCGTATACCACTCGAAAAGTGAAAAGAATTGCTTTAGTAATTCTTACTATTTATGACTATGATTTACAAAATTTTCGTTTTCACCAACAAGTGCAGCGTAGCCTATCTGTAGGTGTGAGCTTTAAATCAAATTTTGACATCATCGTTATCCTATGAATAGAACTTAGTCATTGCATGGTATGAACAGTAGCGTGGCCAGCCCGACGATTTCGTCCCGCTATGTAAATATTTTCATGATTGTTCATTGACTGTGAAAACAATCAATTTCTAAAGAAATGAATAATCGATAATAATTTTGAATTTGCATAGCGGGACTAAATTGTCTGGCTGGTTACGCCACTGGGTATGAATATAGCTCACTGGAGTTTAAAAGATAACTGAGAATACTTGTCGCATGTAATTTTGTAGGTTTTTTCTAAACACTTGACCTGTAAGACAGGTCATTTCAAATGTTTGCTTGTCAGTATTTTATGGTTATTCGGCCCCTATCATAAATTAATTGTAGAAGCTATTTGCGAAAACTTAAGCGCCGCATGCTACTGAGGCAATAAACTTTCAATTAGATTTTCAAGTTGTAATAATGCGAGCTTGACGAATTTAATTCAACCTGTCGAACTTAGCTGGGTTGACTGTGTTGTCATTTATTCGGAATTTTCCGAACAAACCCGAAGCTTGAAAGAGAAATAGCACGAGTTTCAGAATGCGTTTGGAAGGTGTTCCGAACGCGTTCTGGAGACTGTTCCGAACGCGTTGTGGAAGGTGTTCCGAACGCGTTCTCGATGGTATTCCGATTGCGTTCGCAGCATCAGGTTACTTCTGAGCAGTACTGTAATCAAGTAATTTGGATTATTAGGCAAACATAATTCGAAATACAATATAATAGATCTTCGTCATCGTTAAATATAACCCATCTCTACTATCAAACTCACGTTCATATACAGGTATTTTAACAAGTGCACTAATAATATCATGTTCTCTTTAGCATATCACTTTAAGTTATTGGAGTTATGATAACCAGAAATATCAATTATCCCCGAGTCAACGGCGCGAACGGAACGTAAGCCGGGAGCGAAGGTACTAATTCCGCCCGGCTATTTACACCCGGGTGTTTGAGAACATAGCGAAATGCAAAGTTGTCCTCCATTATGTGATGAACGGTCTTCGACGGTATTGCGCATGCACGAGTAATAGCTCGCACTAAAAAAATTGTTTTTCATTTTGCAAAGATATATTTTGCTGTTTAACAATATATTTTCGTGTTGTATTTCGCTATTAACTGGAAACAAGCCCGCAGTTTCATGAATTAGTGGCTGTCAACCGTGAAACAAAGTGTGAAAGGCATGCTTAAACACAAATTTTGTCGAAGATGAACCACTTATGTTTTCAATATAAAATTTAATCGCTGTCTTGGACCTTTTGCCTCTTGGCTATATTTGGGATTTGGGTAAGTGTTATAAACATTGCAGTATTAAAATTCATACCGTACTTGCTTTGTGTTTTCGATTTCATTCATATCTGCGAAATTTTTATGCCATTCTTTAATAACTCGATAAATAATATGTTTTTATGCAGGTGGTATTTACATGAAATTGTATAAATGTAGTGATTTTAAATATTGTTTATTTGGGGCAATTAATACAGCGTATAGTGTTTTTTATGCGTGTTTATAATGGTTTTTATACCTACAGCAAATATGGCTTCACCAAAATATAACTCAAAAACTAGCTTTTGCCTATATAAAGCAAATATATTTTACCGTGTTTTCGAGCAAACTGCTGTCGGCAAAACGAGTGTTTCTGTTTCTCCTGCAGTTTCATGGCAAAGTTTCGGAAACGTTTTACCGTTACATTTTACATTAAATTTTATTGAAAGCCACATAACATAAAACTACATTCCAAATAACAAATTATAAAAATCAATTATTCTTTAGGTAAAAAATTATCTCCTATTATTTTCTCAAATTATTTTCATGTTACGATAGCGAATATTATTGTGCTAAACATGGAGTGGTTCATGTTGAATGGAATTTCTATACTTCATCTGTCAAAAAGGCGAGGGGTTGCTGCATGCATGTATTTCTAGTAATAAACCGTAATATCGAATACTGCATTATAATATAGAAATATGCCGCATTAACTCTTCCAAGGTAAACACATCTCGATGACATTGCTTGTAACAAAAAAATGCCATCAATAATCACTTTTTCGAGATTGACTGGCCGTCTACTACAGCGATTCGGTTCCAGCTCCTGCAGTTGGCGGTTGCAGTTCCTGCGACAATTTGACCATGAACAGTAAAACCAAAGTGTTGTGTTTCGTCGCTTTCCGAGTAATATAAAATAGACTGTGCCATCAATCTGAAACTCGCTGAATAGGCTTTTTTCTACTATAGATTGGACCACCAGTAAAGACTTTTGCCGCGGACAAACGTTTCTCTCTAGGGAGAGGGTCTATGGGCACGTCCGTTTATGTTGCTATCTTGGAAGATGGCAGTGAAGTGGCTGTAAAGCGGATGCTGATTGAATCATGTCAAGATGCAGCAGAAAATGAGAAAAACATCCTGAGTCTCACTAACACGGAGAAATCACCATTTATTGTGAGTTATCGCCATTTTCTTAAAGACATTACCTTCGTGTACCTGCTTGTTGATCTCTGTGAAGAAACATTGGATGAACATGTGCATTCTCAAAATATTGAACATCTACGAATTCACGGTCGAAGAATGATCAACGAAATGTTAACTGGACTTAAATTTCTTCATGATCAAGGAATTTTGCATAGAGATCTCAAACCATCAAATATCCTGGTTGATGTCGACGGTCACATGAGATTGGCAGATTTCGGAATAAGTCGTGTTCTAAACGAAGATGAAACCACGTTTAATACCGATGCGAAAGGAACGGAACGCTGGATGGCAGTTGAAGTTATGGAATCTATAGATAAAATAGGAGAAGGACGTTTCAAAAAGAAATCTGATATTCAATCTGCAGGAATGATTACTTTTTTCATTTTAACGAAAGGTGAACATCCCTTTGGTTCTACTAGATATGAATGTATGACAAATATTAGGGATGGAAATCCAGTTAACTTAAACATCCTTGATGATCTTGATGGTCGAGAGTTTGTTGCACGCTTGATTAGCCATAAGATTGATGATAGACCATACGCTCATATAGCATTGTTATACCCCTTTATGGACATAATACATCAGGGTAATCCATAGGCCTCGATTCAACAAAGAGGCGCGAATTTTCAGTTTTTGAAAGTTAATAAAACAGTCATCGAAAGGAAATTTTAAAAGATATTCCAATCAAATAACTCAAAATATTCCTGCGCTTCTAAATGTTTGGAAAACCAATATCATGCTTATTGGTCAGTGAAAATCGAAAAATCGCGCCGCGTTGTCGAATTGCGTCCGGTAAGTCTTAAGGCGGATTTCCATTCAGTCCAAAATGTTGCGTTGACTGAACACATTTCAAAAGAAAGTGATCGCAGAAAGTTGATCTCGCGACATTTTGCACTGAATGGAAATTGCAAAAATCGCCTTACCGGCGCGTCAAATTTGATCGCGTTGGGGGCGCAAGACAAGTGGCAACATGTGTATAATACTTTTCTCTTCTGGTAAAAAAGTACAAAGCCAAAGTTGATCACTGTGAATGTGGTCAGATCGATAGAAACCAAGATATTTTGTTGTCAAGACTGCCTAAAGATCGTAATATACATTTAAAAGTCTATGAATTTGTAACATTCTAGCATTTAATTGATCTTGCTACTGTATATATCGCCAGTAGTGGGTAAATTTGGAGATATATCTTCTAGTCCAAGGCACTGGATTAGCCAGTTCACTTGTCATGCAAAGCGATTATCATTGGCTGCTGACTAAATATAATCAATTGTAATTTCACATTCTCTTCCGCAATCGGCGCGAAAGTTGAATCATTCTAACTTTCACTCGATATATATATATATATATATATATATATATATATATATATATATATATATATATATATATATATATATATATATATATATATATATATATATATATATATATATATATATATATATATATATATATATATATATATATATATATATGGTTAACTCCGTAATATAACACTTGCAGAACTTGTATATAGTTCGGTCCTGAATTAATATAAACGAGTGTGTTTATGACATTCAGTATATAGTTCATAATTTCCAGTTTTAAATCCGTCTGACTGATATATATATATATATATATATATATATATATATATATATATATATATATATATATATATATATATATATATATATATATTATTTTTTTTGCAGTTTCATGAATTAGTGGCTGTCAACCGTGAAACAAAGTGTGAAAGGCATGCTTAAACACAAATTTTGTCGAAGATGAACCACTTATGTTTTCAATATAAAATTTAATCGCTGTCTTGGACCTTTTGCCTCTTGGCTATATTTGGG